TTTGGGGTTGTATGCGTAGCAGTCAACCCGGTAAGGAAAAAAAAAAAGTAAATTTCCTTACATCGAGTACAAGCTGCTGAAGGGCGAAGAGAAGTTGCGCAGCTCTGTTGACAACAAGACTGCGCTTGCCATTTACCATTCCAATATTCACAACACAGTTGCTTTCGCTGTTCAGAATTGTAACAACGAGACAGGGCCCTAGTGGGAGGCCGACTACAAAGCCTGGAAGTTTAATGGGGCAACGAAAAGGGTTTTTATCACCTGCGAAGGGCTAGCAGGAATGCAGGGGCTTCGAATCTATAAGACTCGCTCTCTAGTGCGAGTGCCTAGTGTTTAGGGTGTGCTAGTGTATTTTTTTTACCAACTCTGTTTGAGCGTGTGCATCAGGGCCCAAAATATCAGGGTAAAATACCCTGATTACCCTGGGGGCGGGCCACTTTTTCAGAGTTACCATTTCTAAATCGGGCTTCGTAGATTCTTACCCTTACCCAAAAAGTGTTGGTGTTTTTTTTTTTTCCCCTTTTTTTAGTTAGCCTGACGGAATCAGGGTTGTGTGACGACTACCCAGTTACTGAAGCTATTTTTTACGCGGATCAGCCCATTCTCCACGTGGTGCCAAAATGTACCACTCTCACGCTGGCACCGTTGCCGCTAGTGACCACAGGCGGGAAACCGTGAAATGTTGTCGGCGGCTCGCCATGTGGCCTTATCGGCTGTCTTACCCACAGGACTGCCAACGCACCCTTGCATCAAGCCAAACCACACCATGCCCACTACTAGGTGGCCCCCTGAAGAGGCCATGTGAGGTTCGAGCTCAACGAGGGGGTCTCTCGCCTGTTCTCCATTCTCGTCCATTTTCAACTCATTTGTCAAACAAGCCTGTTGGAGAGGCTGATCCACCTGGTAGCATGAGAAACGGCCTTTCCGTGCTGGGAGTTTTGCCACGCCTTAACGTAAACTACACCGTTCCTATCTTGCCGGTGCCTCGCGAACCGTCTCCAGAATGCGAGGTAGGAACGGTGTATCCGTTCCAGCCATTAGACTCACCCCATGCGTGGGAGCCACACCCTTCCCTGGATATTGTGCCCGGAGGTGGCAAGGGCCCGTCTAAGCCGACAACTACTTCGCCTTCGACGGTCAGCAGCGAGCCCGACAAGCGACAGCGTGTGGGAGCGACGTACAAGCAGCAGACACTCTGGGGCGCCCCACCTCCCCGAAACGCATCTACTCATAAACGGCATGCACCTCCTGTCGAACCCAAGCCTCCCACCGCCTTGGCGGATGGTGAGTACGAATCGGTAAAGAAGACTTTTGACTCTCAGTGGACAAGTAGTTTCAAATGGTTACGCGTACATCGCATGTCTAACGGCAGGCCTTCGTTGAAGTGTTTCATTTGTGTTAAGCACGGAGATCCGCTAGCGCACACATCGTATGGGGCGAAGGGGGATGGTGCTCAAGATCTCCAGATCGGCAGCATCCGCACTCACTCAGCTATTCGTGCCCACAAGCAAGCAGTGGATAACCTGGAGAAATCGGAGGCGGAGAAAGCTAAGCAGGCCACTCTCACACGGTGGCAGATCACGGATTCTTCTACCCAACACATCATCCGTCTACTCCACATAGCGCTCTTCGTCTGCACGGCGGACGCTCCCATCGCAATGTTTGTCCCACTGTGCTGGTTTTGGGTGAAAGAAGGGTTACCAGACCTCCCTCCATCCGGCGGATACGGCTCATACTACACTAAGTAAGTGATGGCTGGTGTTGTGCACCTCTCTATTTGATTGATAAGCACTCACTCATTTTTACTCTATCTCTTATCGTTGGCAATTACAGATTCAAGGAGAATCTGCGCGCCCTGTCAACTTATCTCCAAGAGACACAACGCCTTCACCTCCTCGAGTCCCCGTGGATAGGCATCTCCCTGGACAAGAGCACAGATCGAGTGCATGGGAAGCACCTGATCTTATACGCTACCTTCTTCAAGCGCACATCTGTGGTTACTGAGTTTTTGACTCTCATCACTGTTGAGCGTGCTGACGCTGCCTCCCTCACATCCGCGGTCGTGCAGTATCTCACTGGGATTGGGGTCGACCTTCAGAAGATATCAAGCGTCGCCTCCGATGGTGCAAACGTGATGGTCGGCAAGAACAAGGGCGTCGTTACAAGGCTGCGGATGCGCATTCCTCACTTGGCCTCTACACACTGTATCGCCCATCGGTATGCACGTGTTGTGTCTGATTAATGCAGCATTTGTTATATATGTTGCAGTTGTTAACAAGTTATTCTGTTTCTGTGATAATGTACAGGGAGGCACTCGCTGCTGTTAAAATAGTAAGGACCTAGGAAACTAGGTGCATTGCTTAGGAGGCTTAGGAGCCATGGCTAGGGTGAATTGTCGAGGGAGTTGGGGTGAGGAAAATCGAGAAGGAGAATGATGATGTTTCACTATAGAAAGTTGGGATACAAATAGCAAACCCTAAATTGGGTTGTACTCACTACAGAGTACCCCACTGCAGGCTAGACAGCAAATACATTATAACAGCTGCCAGTGATGCCGCAGATGCTGTCCCTGAGCTTCGCATGATCGACAACGTCGTGCGCGCCTTCGCTGAACACATCGGCCGCACCAGCGTGCACTACCAGTAGTTCCACGAGTTGCAACGCATCTTCTGCCAGACGAATTTGGAGGCGTAAGGGATCCACGAGGTCCGATGGCTCTCCCGTGGTGAAGCGGTACAGCGCCTGCTCGATGTTCTCCCTGCAACTGTAGTGGTGCTGAAGGACTACAAGAAGGAGCTGTACGAGGTGGTTACCTTGTTCAAGTTCCACTGGCTCATCCGCTTTCTTGCGGATGTGCTGTGGGAACTAAACGCCCTCAACAAGCGCTTCCAGCAACACCAGGTAATAGCTTTTGCCACATGCATCTTGGTTCTTGCAACTATGCACAACCACGTACTAACTGCTTGTAGTGCCTGTATGCAGGTTGACGTCACCCTTTTTGCGCACATCGTGGAGCAAACAAGGATGCGTCTGAAGACCAGGTACTCCCTCCGTGACCCAGCCCACCACTTCGGCAGCGGGGATAAAATGCAGCTGCCATAATTCATTAAGAGGCATCAGGCAATGGATAAGAGAAAGATGAAGGCGGAGGGTGTAGACGGGGACGGGAATCCCGTCTATTTTGTCTACGAGCTGCACGAGCGTCGTTTGCCCAGACACGAAACTGATGGCGACGTGACGGCGTGCGTGGAGCTGTCGATCAAGTTTGTGCGTGCCGTGGACGCCGAGCTGGAGTGGCGGATGCGCGACCTGAACCTGCTGGAAGGAACGAAGCTGTTTCGGACAGCTTCGTACGTGTCTGACGACAGCAAGCGCGTGGAGACCTTCAAAAAGTGGCTGGGCCTTCTTCACAAGCTGCACAACCATAAGCTGCCTGGTAAGCCATAATAGGAGTATGCAGTTGTTTTCCAATGTTTTGTCAATTGCATGTCTGTCGCGTTGGTGACACGTGCACGTGGTGCTCACCGCTGCTCGTTGGACTAATGCCCCCCACTCCTACTTGTGTATGCACGCGTCGCCCAAGTTTACACCCCGTACCCGCCCCATGCCAGGGTTCGACTACAAAAGGGCCGGCCAGGAACTGTGGGTGTTTACATCCACAATGTTCTCCCAGCACAACAACGAGGAGTTTCATCAGGCGCTGGGGAACATGCTGCGGGACGATGCATGGCGTGTGTCCTTCCCCAACATCATGAGCATGTGGCAGTCAGTCGCCGTGCTGCCATTGAGCACGGTTGAATGCGAGCGGGGCTTCTCGAAGCAGAACCTGATCAAGACTTGGGGACGTGGCAGCCTTGGCGACAAAATCCTGGAGCACCTGATGCGTTGCTCTCTGCTGCGGTATGATGTCGACTGGTACGAGGTGGTCGCCATCTTCCGAGGAGAGAAGCTCAGACGATCCACCAAGGAGTTTGACGCCTCCAGGGCTAGCGATTCAGAGTTTGTAGAGGAAGTTGTAGGTAGTGGGGGTGGCACTGAGTAGTTGTGATGTTTGTGCAACCTTATTAATACTGAAGAAATTACGTAACAGACAAAGTTGTATTGAAAACATGCTATCTGTAGAAATACACCATGCTCAAATCAGTCTACCATGCCGAAATCTTTGATTTACCCAGATGCAAAGAGGGTATGGAAAATTTTACACAACGGGTCAGGGTAAAGAGGAGGTGCAACCCTGATTTGTCATAGTGGGCCTAAACCAATTTTGGGCCCTGGTGTGCATGCTAGTATGTGCTTTTGTAGTGTGCATGTAGGTTCTGATTTAAATAAATAAAAAATCGAATTCGGCATTCTTAACAAATACGTAAAAAAGATCAAATTCTGCATTATTAACAAATACGTAATAAGAAAATGAAATTGTAATGTAAATCATCTTCGACCGCTTTCATGTAACGCTACGAAGCATCTAAGTAATTGTTACATTTATTTTCCAGCTTGGATCGGACGTAACCAAGTAATTGTTACATGATTTTTGCCATTTATTACCACCACTAGTTAGTGTGACATCGTGGCAGTATTCTGAACGTCCGCGTCAGCAAGGCAACCTCCAGGTGTTCAAAGGGGAACTGTGCTACCTGTCCGGAGAAAGAACTTCTCACCACCTGTTAAATTTTGAACAGTGCAGATTTACACATCAGCATGTCTACCTCTACTCTGATCGAGGGCAGGGTCGAATGACCCAGTGACACGCGATTTGATTTGGCGCTGCAAACCAGCTTGAGCGATTTCGATCATGACGCAGGTCGCTTACACTGTTCCACAATCTTGGAACCAATTGCAGATCACAGAGGATTTCGCGCTTACTGTGTAACCGCCTCTCGCGCTCACCTTGTTCACTTTTTTTTGGTCGCATTTGTGTGTTTCCGAATTAATGTGCATTTCAACAGCCGTGTCGGCGACATTGGCGCCGCGCCTTGCGCCAGCGCGGGGGGAGGCGCGGCATGTCGGCGGTAGCGGCGCAGGCTGTGCGCGGCGAAGGCGTGGTGGGCCTCACCGTCCCGGGGAACGCCGTCCTGCCCTCGGTATAGTGCCACTGCCCTCGGTATAGTGCCACTGCCCTCGGTATAGTGCCACTGTCCTCGTTATAGCGCCACTTCTGTTGATTGATTCCAATTACTCTCACTCGTTTCTCCCCACCCTTCCACCCCCTTCCCCTCCGCACTGACTCCTGTCCCCTTCCCTCTCACCTCTTCCCCATCCCTTTCCTCCTCTCCCTTCACGAATCACCCCGGCTGCCATCTACCTCACCGCCCTCCCTGCGGCCATGGCAGGTGTTCGTCTCCTTCGATCCCGCCTCGCCGCCGCTCTCCCTCCCCTCCGACCTCCTCCTCCTCGCTGTCTTCGACTCCGCCCTCTCTCGCGATGACACGTCAGCAGCCAATTTCACTGGCTTCGCTGCTGACGCACCAGGCGGTGCTGAGCTGGCGTCTCTCGACGCCACGCTTTCCGGCGCTCTCGCTGAGCTAGCATCCGACCCGGATTTCAGAGCGAAGCCCGGGCAGGTTTCGCAAGTCCTCCGCGTTCCCGGGCAGCCGTTCAAAAGAATCGCGCTGGTGGGGCTGGGCAAGCCGGATGTGCTTCTAAAGGGGGAGGCCGGCTCGTGGCAGGGAGTAGGCTCCGCTATAGCAGGCGCCGCTAAAACGAATCAGGCCAGCAAGGTATCGGTCGCGTTTGTGGGCAAGCCAGAGGCGGCGGTGGGGCAGGAGATTAAAGCTGGGAGCGCGGTTCGGGGGATAGTGACGGGCGCCTTAGTAGGCAGCTTCGAGGATGTGCGGTTCAAATCGGAGGAGAAGGAGAAGGCGAAGGCAGAGAGGGGTGTGAAGGAGTTGCAAGTGGTGGGGCTGGGTGACGCGGAGTCACTCCAGAGGGACGTGTTCGAGGCGGAGAGGCTGGCGGCGGGAATCATCCTCACCAAGCAGCTCGTCAACGCGCCGCCCAATGTGCTCACGCCAGCTGTCCTCGCTGACGTGGCGGTGAACCTGACTGCCGCCCACGCGGATGTGCTGAGCGCGCGCATTTTGGAAAAGGACGAATGTGCCGCCCTGGGCATGGGGTCGTACCTGGCAGTGGCGGAGGCATCAGCGGCGGACAACCCGCCCAAGTTCATCCACGTCACGTACACACCGCCTGCTGCTGGGGATGGTGGCGAAGGGGGCGAGGAGAAGCCGCTGAAGAAGCTGGCGCTGATCGGCAAGGGACTCACCTTCGATAGGTATGCAAGGGACTCACCTTCGATAGGTATGCATGGGGCTGCACATGCCTCCTCATGCCTCCTCATGCCTCCTCATGCCTGCTCATGCCTCCTCATGCCTCATCATGCCTCCTCATGCCTCCTCATGCCTCCTCATGCCTCCTCATGCCTCCTCATGCCTCCTCATGCCTCCTCATGCCTCCTCATGCCTCCTCATGCCTCCTCATGCCTGCTCATGCCTGCTCATGCCTGCTTGTGGCCCTAAGGGCATGCGTCCAATCATGTGCTTCCACCCATACGACGCCCACACAAACCGTTTCAAGGCTGATCCTGCCATCAAACAGCGGGTCAATCTGTCCGTGGATCGCCTCTGCTCTCATTCCTCCCTTCGTCAACCACGCCTTCTGTCTTCACCACCTCGTCCCCAACCTTCCTTCCCCTCTCCTCCCACTTATTCACTCATCCACTCGCTATGAGAAGCGGCAGGCAGGCAAGGGCTCCACAATCCACTCATTAAGATCTCCCATCCATCCCCTCCCCTCCCATCCATCTCCCATCCATCCCCTCCATGCACCAGTGGCGGCAGCAACCTCAAGGCTGGTCGTCCTCGCATCCCCTATCCCCCATCACCATTGCCCCTCCCCACCCATTTCCGCCCCTCCCGTGCACCAGAGGCGGGTACAACCTGAAGGCAGGCCCAGGCTCAACGATCCACCTCATGGAGTTTGACATTCCCTCATGCGTCCAATCATCTCCCTTGCCTCTGCTTCACCCCCTCTCCTTCCCCGCTTATCGCACCCACCAGTGGCGGCTACAACCTGAAGGCGGGGCCGGGCTCAATGATTCACCTCATGAAGTTTGACATGGGCGGCGCTGCTGCTGTGCTGGGCGCTGCCAAGGCCATCGCTGCCATCCAGCCCCAGGGCGTGCAGGTGAGGGTTCTGCACCTATTGTCCGCCCACCTGTTCACTCAGCACTCAGCACCACCTCACCTCTCTTCCAAACATGCCTTGCTGCTGCCACTGGGATGCCACGGCCATGGCCATGGGACATGGGCATGGGGCATGGGGCATGGGCCATGGGGCATGGGCCATGGGACATGGGGCATGGGGCATGGGCCATGGGGCATGGGGCATGGGCCATGGGGCATGGGGCATGGGGCATGGGGCATGGGGCATGGGGCATGGGGCTTGGGGCATGGGGCATGGCATGCGTTTAACTCCCATGGGGTAGCGGGGGAGGGGGGTCAATGCGTGCTGTTAGAGAATGAGGCTGGAGATGCACTGGGACGTGAAGGCAAGTGCGAGTTGTTGTGTGTTTTGTCACCTATCTCCCCCAGGCCCCTTGCTCTTAGCGTGCCCGGGGGCCGGGGGCAGTTCGGCATAACGCCACACCAGTGGGGACGGCCTGAAGGCTTGATTGTTTTGATGTGATAGTCTGTTTGTGTGTGTGCTTTGCATTGCATGTGCGTATGACTTGCATGTGCGTATGACTTGCATGTGCCTTGCATGTGCCTGTTAACATGCCCACCACCGCCAGGTGCATTTCATCATAGCAGCGTGTGAGAACATGGTCAGTGGGGGCGGCATGAAGCCGGGTGACATCATCACTGCTTCCAACGGCAAAACCATTGAGGTGCGGCGGGAGCACTGAAGTGTGGTGAGACTAGTGAGATGTGGGGAGAGCTGTTGGGGCAGTTAATACGGTTTTTATGAGAACACACAAGATAGGCTTTGCCTTTTTCCTGTTTGTTGACGGTAGTTGAAGCCGGGCGACATCATCACTGCCTCCATTGAGGTGAGTCGGGAGGTCAGGGAGGTGCGGGGAGAGCATTGAGGTGAGGCGAGAGCAGTGGGGCGCGGAAAAACTCAATATATGCTTCGTCGCAGATGCTGCATGGGAAGTACAGATGGCATTGGGTTGAACTAGCACAAACAAAACTCTGCCTGCGCTCTTTTGCAGCTCTCTTCCCTCCCGACCCCTCGTTGTGATGAATGGCGGTTGGGTGTGTTACTGCTTCTGACACTGCCACTAGCACAACCGCCCTATCCCTTCCTCCCCTTCCCTGTCCCTTCCTCCTCTTCTCCATCCCTTCCTCCCCTTCCCCGTCCCTTCCTCCTCTTCCCCAACCGTTCCTCCCCTTCTCCGCCCCTTTCTCCTGTTCCCCCTCCCTCCCCTTCCCCGCCCCTTCCTCCCCTTCCTCCCCTTCCACATGCCCATCCTTCTCACAGGTGAACAACACGGACGCGGAGGGGCGGCTGACACTGGCGGATGCGCTGCTGTACGCGCAGCAGCAGGGCGTGGAGAAGATCGTTGATGTCGCCACCCTCACTGGCGCTTGCATCATCGCCCTCGGGAATGACATCGCTGGTACGCCCCTCCCATGCATCGCTGGTACGCGCTTCACATGCATTGCTGAGGTGACTTTTGAGTAGACTGAGATGTTGCCACTCTCACTGGCGCTTGTATCATCGCCTATCATCGCCCTCGGGAAGGACATCGTTGGTACGCTTGTGACATCGCTGGTACGCTCGTGACATCGCTGGTACGCTCGTGACATTGCATGCATGCATCCATACATTCACACACCCACAACCAACCACCTCCACCAACTTCCTCCATGTCACCACTCCCAGGTCTGTTCACCCCAAACGATGAGCTGTCAGCGGAACTGGAAGCTTCCTCCAAGGCGTGTGGCGACAAGGTTTGGCGCATGCCCATGGAGGAGGCGTACTGGGAGGGCATGCGCAGCAAGCATGCCGACATGCTCAACACCGGTGGCCGTGAAGGCGGCTCCATCACTGCAGCACTCTTCCTCAAGCAGGTGCGTGGAGAATGAGAGAGGGGGAAACTGAGAGAGGAAAACACCACAGCCCTTGTTTGTTGCAGTTGCTCAGCGGCAGCTGGCAACAGCAGGAGCGGGTGTTTGTTCTGTGCCACTCCTTTATGCCCTGGTGACCAGAATCACTCTTTGGCAGTCTCTTTTGCAGCAGCCCCTCTCTTCCTCCCGTCTCTCTCTGGGCTAACCTTGAAGCAGCACATTTGTGTGCATTATGACGAGGCAAAACTGCCTCGAACTTACTCTCTCTCTTGTCTCCTGCCTCTCTGTTTGCTGTTGCTCCCACCATTCCCTGTCACCACTCCCTCCTCTCTCATGCCTCTCTGTTTGCTGTTGCTCCCACCATTCCCTGTCACCACTCCCTCCTCTCTCATGCCTCTCTGTTTGCTGTTGCTCCCACCATTCCCTGTCACCACTCCCTCCTCTCTCATGCCTCTCTGTTTGCTGTTGCTCCCACCATTCCCTGTCACCACTCCCTCCTCTCTCATGCCTCTCTGTTTGCTGTTGCTCCCACCATTCCCTGCCACCATCCCCTGCCGCCATTCCCTGCCACCACTCCCTCCTCTCTCATGCCTCTCTGTTTGCTGTTGCTGCCACCACTCCCCGGCGCCAGTTTGTGGCGGAGGGGCTGCCATGGGCGCATCTGGACATTGCAGGGCCGGTGTGGAGTGAGAAGAAGGGCGGAGGCACTGGCTTCGGTGCCAGCCTGCTCTACCACTGGGTCGCCTCCCATTCCCCCTAGGCCTCCCACTCCTAAGGCTCACACTCCTAGGATTAACAGTCGGTTGGATATGCGGTGGCAGTAAAAAAGCTGGGAAAAGGGAGAAGCACTGGATGGACTGTGCTGCTTCGCCCCTACCATTCGATTTGGAATTTGGACGCCATTGTTGGATTCGATCCCCTTCTATCCAGTTCGGCCAATGAATTGAAGTTTTTTAGGAGTGAGGGCGTATCTTTGGTTCCGGTCATGAGCACTGTTCATTCAACTGTTTGGGGCATCCGCATTTAGCGCATGACCCAAACTGGACTCTGGAAGCGCCCGCGGTCCGAACTTCGGGTCATCCAGCAAACTGCATGTGACTGGGGTGTTCAATGTGTCCCTACCAATCATTTTGAGCTGCTACCCCAGGTTGGGTCGCCCTCTTTAGACGTTTTCTTTCATCTCATGCCCATCAATGTCCCATATACACCAATAATGTCCAACACTTCCAAGTACAACTGACGTGACCATGCTCACCAAAACAAGCCCCGACACCACACCACCTCTCTCTCTCCCACGCTCCAGACGCCATGTTTACAAGCACAAGGCGGCTCCACAGCAAGGCTCCTTTCTCCCACCGCGTTGCCAACATAGCGGGCGACTTGAGAGCACTTTTCAGCTCAAGATGGCCGCATGCATCTTTCATCGTCGCTAATCGTGTTGCCATAAAACATGCTCACAGCACAGGTGCTCATACTTTGTGTTGCCTTACACCTGTGGCATGAATACCTTCTCAACTCGTGGCAGCGTGTAGTTTCTCTAGCCGCTGTAGAGTGGGTATCCACACTCCTCCCCATGGCACAGACCGTGGATCAGGAGTGCGTGCTCCGTGAAACCGAGCGCCGCGAGAGTCGGAAACGGGTTCGGCAGGCACGGGTCGCAGAATGGGCCGAGGAGATTTGCGCGATGTTTGACGAGGAGTTCGAAGATACCTTCCGCATTACGCGCGAAGTCCTCGACATCATTGCTGACAAAATGAAATTTCCAATGTCTCGTTTTGTCGAAGTGAATGAAGTTCCATTGTGTCTTTGCTGTCTCATCCCGATTAAATACTTCGCAAGTGCATTGACGTATCACGACATGAGTATCATGTTTGGACTGCCCAGAGGACTCATCCACCGTGTGGTAGATGCCTTCTTGGTGTGGTTCCCCCGCAAGTTCAAGCGCGACTGGGTTCAGTTCCCACCGGAGGAAGTGAGAGAGGAGATGGCACTCGACTTCCGCGCAATCAAAGGAGTGCCCAACGTAATCGGTGCGATTGATGGGACACACATTTAGATAAAGGGCATGGAGGCCCACCGTGGTGACTATTTCAACCGCAAGTCGGTCTATAGCGTCCAACTTCAAGTTACATGTGACTCAAAGGGTGTCATATGGGATTACATGGTTGGCAATCCTGGCTCAATGCATAATCAAGGTGTTTTCTCTACATCAGATCTTCATGGCAGGCTAGAGAGTGGGGAAATCGCCCCCTATCAGCTTGTGGGGGATGCGGCCTACCCTCTTAAGTCCTACATGCTCACCCCCCTTCACGCTCCACGACGACGCCTGATGAAGAAGTGGGAGCAGACGTACAACTACGTCCAGCCTGCTACGCGCATGGTGGTCGAGCGCACGATTGGCGCACTGAAGGGACGCTAGAGGCTCTTCGCGCGCAGGCACGAGAGCAAACTCTGGCGCGTGTGTGCAGGGACGGCCTGCATCATCATCCTGCACAACATGCTGCAGACCGTTAGTACGCCCAGGATGAAAACGAACAACCCCCGCCGCTATATATGGGCTGGACTCCCAAATGGCTGGTGGACGAGGAGTGGCATGGATAAGTACGAGTGGCGGAGCCTAGACAACCCTACGCTTGCCAATCTGCGCGCTCGCCGGCACCACTTCGGCAAGCACATCCATCGTGCTTACCTCCGGCGTCACCGTGTGTCATCCACCGCGTGCTAAGGCTCGTGCTGCTCCGCCACATCCTCCGACCCCGCCATGTTGGCGTCGCTTGCGTCTGCAGGCGGTGCTGGTGGCGGCGTAGTCGCGGGCGCCGCAGGTGGTACGGGCGGACTGGCCATCTGCTGTCGTAAGCCAGCCTTGGCGGCGACAAGTAGTTGCATGGAGTCTTGAAGCTGGCGTAACGCCATCGCGTTGGAGGAATTAATGGCGTCGCTCACAATCTTAGCTGCTGCCATTGTGGCGGTTTCGTCTATCCGCATTCGTTTGGGTGGTGGTGTGACTACAGCATCTGTAGGGGTGGGTGTAGGGACGTATGGCAATAAGGCGGCTTTGATATTGTCTGTATGCTTGTCAGTGAAATATAGTATTAAAGAGCATGGCTTTAATGTTGCTCCTGGGAGTCACAGGGCAGACATTGAAGCATTCGCACAACTCACCTTGTGATGCCGCTCCACGTCGGTTTCCGCGTTAACGTCCCTGCGAGGGAGGAGCCGAGGTCTCCGCGACGTTGGTGCCGGGCACGGTAGCGTACGCAGGGACGTCAACGTTAGCGGCACCTCCTCCGTCCAGTGCGTGGGCATTGGCTTTAGCCGAGTGTTTCTTGAGATGATAAACGTAATCCCACCACGGCTTCTTCTTAATAGCTTTCCGCCCGCTTTGCGTCTCCGACCGTTTCGTTTTCAGGTACTTTTTTCTCGAGACGTTTCCACGCATTCGACATCTGCCCCTCATCGCGGTCCCACGTGGCGTCCCTCTCAACCATATGAGCTCGCAGCTTCTTCCAGTACTGGCTCCCTTGCTTCCCCTGCATCGCCTTCAGGTCGTCCTTCGTGTTCCAACAAGCGGCCGCGAGTGATGCCAGCTCTGCGTCCGACCACACTCGCTTGTTGCGCTTCGCCGGCGGGCGCTTCTCCTTTTTCGATCGACGTGTGCTGCGGTCGTCACCGCTTCCTACTTCGGCACCGTCTGAATCTTCCTCTTCGTCCTCACTGCCGGCCTTGTAGTTGTCGGAATCGGCATCACTGTCCGATTCCGACACGATCTCCTCAAGCTCGTCATCGCTGACGTCCGTGTCGCCCCCAGTTTCGTCGTCGTCATGCCCAGGACCGCTGCTAGTGCTGGCGCCAGCAGAGTCGTGCTTTGCCTTTGCAATACGCTTGATGGAAGGGGACGGCTTCCCCTGCTTTTGCTGCTCCTTCATCCATGCGACATACGGGGTGTCTTCCAACGGTTCATCGTCGCTAAGTTTCTCCTTTCCCTTGCCGCGTGCGCTTCGGCGTGGAGGCATTGCTGAAAACGTAGATAGCGGGCTGGTGTGGAAGCTCGGGAACACTTGTGAGGGAGATCTGTTTGCTCATGCTTGTGCTGATTGCCCAAGTGCTCGAAACCCTTGCGTGGGGCTGTTGCAAGAGGGGTGTTTGGTTGGGTTGGGATCTAGAGCCGCACAAATCTGCATGTAACTCTTCCCACCGGGAATTTTGACGGAGTTGAGGGTGGGGTGAGTGTCGCTCAACCAGATGAAGGAGTTCGTGTGTCATGGAATGGCGCGTCTCAATTGGATGCGACTGTTGTGGGTGTTACAATGAGAACGAGAATGAAAATGAACTATGAAAATGAAGTGAGTACAAATATGAAACCCTAATTGGTTGTACCCCCTATGGGATACCCCACTATAGCCTACACAACAGCATAAGCAATAATGTTCTGACACACCCCCATAGGCAAAGTGGGGGAGAACAAGGGGTCACAAGACCAGTCAAGCAAAGCAAAGCAAAGCAAGCTCAGGGTGGATCACAAAGTCACCACACAGTCCGAGCACAGGGTCAAGGCCACACGGCCAGTTCACATGCAAGAGTACACACATATATATAAAGCTAGACAAGCAAGAGCAGGTATATATATATGCGAGAGTACAAGCAAGGTCAAGAGGAGAGCAAGTGAGGCAAGACGGGCACAAGACCCAGCTGAGTGCAGAAGTGCTGATGATCACAAGGCGGAAGTGCCTTGGTGAAGACATCAGCAGTGTTGGCCTCAGAGGCCACGTACGCAAGCCGCAACTGTCCACGTTGCTGTAGCTCACGAGCAAGGAAGTAGCGGAGAGCAATGTGCTTTGTTCTGTGCTCCAGTCGCTGCTCTCGACACAAGGCCAGCATGGCCTTGTTGTCTACGTACAGGACTGGAGGAGAACGAGGCGGCTCTCCAAGGTCGGTCAGCAGGTAGGTGAGCCAGCGAAGCTCCTGTGCAGCCATGGCCCCGGCGTAGATCTCAGCCTCACAACTCGAGCTAAGAACAGAAGACGAGCGAGTAGCCCGCCACGAAACAGATCCGGAACCAAGGCTGAAGGTGTAACCCTGTGACGACCGCTGCGTAGCCTGGTCGTCAGCCCAAGAAGCGTCCGCGTGCCCAGTGAGGACCACTGGACTCCGCCCTCCAAGCACTAGCCCCATGCCCGACGTACTGCACAAGTAGCGCAACACCCTCTTCGCTGCAGCCATGTGCTCTGGTCTGTGTCTCCCAGGAGCAACATAGCGTGCAAGAATGCTAAGAGGGTATGCAAGGTCAGGTCGTGTGCAGGTCATCAGGTACATGAGGCAGCCAACAAGCTCTGGGTACGGGCCACTCGACTCTACGGACTCATCCGAAGGCAGAGCTGAGAGCGAGTGGCGAGTAGACAGAGGAGTGGCCTGAGGCGAGGAGTACGTGAAGCCGAAGCGCTGAAGGACCTGCTGCACCATGTGTGACTGAGTCAGGGTAATGGTGCGGCGTGCTCTGTCCCGGGTGATCTGCAAGCCAAGGTAGCTGCGCAGTTCACCCAGGTCTGTGCACGTGTGTCTCTTCTGCAGCTCGGACTTCACGTAGGCGAGTCCAGCAGTGTCAGCTGTGGCAAAGACCAAGTCGTCGACGTACACGAGGATGTAGAACGGCGGCAGAGAGGTGTCGGTGCGTAGAAACAGCGACGGGTCGGCAGTAGAAGGAGCAAACCCAAGAGCCGCAAGCGTAGTCCTCAGTGTGTCGTGCCACTCACGTGGCGCCTGGCGGAGACCGTAGACTGGACGTCGGAGACTCCACTGGGTACCAGGAGGGAAAGACCCAGTGAAGCCAGGTGGGCGACGCAGCCAGATCTCCTCGTGCAGGCTGCCCTGCAAGAAAGCTGTGCTGAAGTCAAGAGAGTGCAGCTCGTAGTCACGGTGAGCAGCAACGTGCAGCAGTACCCGAAGAGTGGTCATCTTCGGGGTGGGGGAGAAGGTCTGAAAGTAGTCAACTCCCTGCCGCTGACTGAAGCCACGAGCCACGTAACGCGCCTTGAAGACAGGCGGAGAACCCGGCGGCCGCTTCACCCTGAAGATCCACATGCCACTGACGATGTTCGCCCCAGGAGGGGGGACAGCGTCAACGTAGGTGCCTGTGGACTTCCAGGAAGCCATCTCTGCATCCATAGCTGCCTGCCACTGAGAGGAGTAGGGACCCTCTATCGCCTCCGCGTAAGAGCGCGGAGTCGGGATGTCAAGTGCATCCGGGTCTCCCTCAGGGGTAAGCAGTACGGACACTAGATGAGGTGAGGCAGCTGCCAGACACTGGAACTCCTCCTGCCTGTCCTCAAGGACGTCCGTGCCAAGGGCATACTCACCCCCGACGGACGGAGGACAGACAGACTCAGACTCAGCGACAAGACTAGCAGCGTAGTCTAAGCGACAGCGAGCAGCAAAGTCGACGAGCTCAGTAACGAGAGCAGACGCAGCAGTAGACTCGAAAGAAGGGTCAGTGACAACAGTGGCAAGGAGACGCGTGACAGTAGGACTGGCAGCACGAAGAGAGTCCGACTCTGGGTCGGCAAGAGCAGGAAGAGAGGACTCAGGAGGAGAAGGCAAAGGGGCACGCAGAGGAGCAGTGGACGGACGCAGAGACATCCGGTGCGTGCCAGGGACAGGAGGAGGACGCTGACGCGAACCGCGACCACTAGTGCGAGCAGCACGGATAGGCGACGCAGGGCGAGACGCAGGCTCACGACGCTCAGCCAGACCTCCAGTAGGACCAGTGTAGGGAGAAGGAGCAGGCAAAGAGGAGGTAGGCTGCAACTGTAGCTGGGACGAGACAGGCTGTGGACACTCTAAGGGAGGAGGAGGACCAGTAGAAGGTGGAAGACCAAGAACCTGCTGCAGGAGTGGAACGAAGTACGGTCGAGGCCGCGCGACGACGCTAGAAGCAGCAGGGACAGCACCAGAACCCTCAGCAGGAGCACCGCTCCAGCAGCACCACCAGTAGCTCCAGAACCTCCAGCAGCACCAGGAGCACCCCCAGCGGTAGTCTCAGCGCCAACACCCTCAGCAGCACCAGCTCCAGTGCACCCAGGACGAGCACCTCCGGGACCCGCGACCGCAGCACCCTCAGCAGCCGAAGGACCTCCAGCACCAGCAGCACGCCTCCAGCGCCGGGCAAACCACTCACGCAGCTCCTGTGGAGAAAGTGGCTCCCGGCGAGACGAAGCACTCGGAGAACCTCCAGGCGGAGCACCTCCAGGCTCAGCACCCCCAGGCGTAGCACCCCTAGGCTCAGCACCCCCAGACGTAGCACCCCTAGGCTCAGCACCCCCAGGCTCAGCACCCCTAGGCTCAGCACCCCCAGGCTCAGCACCCCCAGGCTCAGCACCCCCAGGCTCAGCACCCCTAGGCTCAGCACCCCCAGGCTCAGCACCCCTAGGCTCAGCACCCCTAGGCTCAGCACCCCCAGACGTAGCACCCCCAGGCCCAGCACCCCTAGGCTCCGCACCCCCAGGTACAGCACCCCCAGCCTCAGCACCCTCAGCAGCACCAGAGTCACCAGTGACCTCGACAGGCTCGACTGCGTCTACCTGGGACACACCTGAAGGGGCAGGACCCTGAGGGGGGAGGGGGTCTACCTGGGGGGGACCTGGTACCAGGAAGAGTGGGGGTGGGGGGAGGGACGGAGTGCGGTAGGGGAAGAGGCGGTAGTAGGGGACCGACTCGTCAAACGTGACGTCCTGGGAGGACAGAACACGGCGAGAGGTGGGGTGGTAAAACTGCCACCCAGGCGCGTCAGGGGGGAACCCCAGGAAGACGCAAGGAGCAGCACGAGGGGATAGTTTGTCCGCAGACAGGTCGCGGACAAACGCCCGAGATCCCCAGACCCGGAACGCCGACGCATCGCCAACCTTCCCCGTCCACAGCAAGGCTGGGGAGGTCTCCGGCCTGGAGACCCTGGGGTGGAGGTTGATCTGATGCGCCGCGTACCTCACCGCAAACGGCCACAGAAAATGGGGGGCAGCCGCATGCATCATAGACGTACGAGCGACGTCCATGACCATGCCAATGCGGCGCTCAGCAATCCCATTTTGCTGCGGTGAGTCCGGAAGCATGAAGGTCTGACGGATGCCCCGTGCATGACAGTAGGCACGCAGAAGGCCAGAGGAGAACTCTCCGCCTCTGTCCGAGTGCAGACGCAGAACAGGAAAGTCCGAGCCGAAGCTCTGCCTGAGCTGGAGACGAGCTGCGCGGATCCAGTCGATCAGCACCTCAGTGACATCACCCTTGCTGCGCAAGGGGAAGACTGTGGTGTAACGCGAGTAGTCGTCAACAACGAGCAGGAAGTAGCGCTCGTGACCCTGTCCACGGACGCGGGCTGGGCCCCACACGTCCATGTGAAGTGTCTGCAACGGGGCCTCTGTCGAAGGAAACTGGGAGGAGTGAGGGGCAGCACGCTGGCGCCCCTCGACACAGGGGACACAGGCAGGGCCAGGGCCCTGAGGAAGGGGAGGGAGGGACCGGGGGAGACCGGACACAAGAAGACGGGAGGCCATACCTCTGAGCCGAAGCAGAGAGGGGTGGCCAAGGCGGTGGTGCCAGAGGAGAGTCTCGTGAGACAGGAGACGACACGAACAGGGGGCAGACTCAGGACCAGACCTGGACGCCGCAGCAAACACCTGACCCGACGTAACTACCCTACCAGACTCAGCAACTGGAGAAGACGCAGTGGTCAGAGTGTACAGGCTCGACCCCGGCTGACGGGTGAACGTAGCCAGGTGTCGGCCTGTGCCAACCTCTGTACAGTGGGTCACTCGCTGACGTGCAGGAGTGAACTGGTGGACACCCGCATCCTGTAGGTCAGCACCACTCACCAGGTTCGTCGAGAACGAGGGGAGGTAGAGACCAGACAGGGTGCCAGAGGGAGCCGCCGGACACGGGAGGACTGTGGAGAAACGAGACAGGACCGGACCCCCAGAGGGGTCAGCCAGAGACACCGCAACCGGCCGACTAAGCGGCGTGAGTGTGG